AAATGAATTCGAATTTGCCTATCCACTAGACGGACTCACCCAAGAAAACAGCGACCCTTCTTACCTTCCATCAGATGTGCAAAATCTCTTACGAACAAAACAACAAGTCGTGGAAGCTTTAAATTCGTCCTGCAAATTCACAGAAAAATTCTGGAAAATTTGGAAATCTCATTATTTAACCTCACTACGTGAAAAGCATCAAAGTGGATCAGGAAAGAAACGAAGCTCAAAATATACTCCAAAAAAGGATGATATAGTGCTGATCAATGATCCCATACAACCACGACACATGTGGAAAATAGGTAGAATTAAGGAACTTGTCACCAACTCACAAGGAATTTCACGCGAAGCGGTTATTTTGCTACCTTCACATCGCCAAATTCGCAGACCACTAAACCTTCTGGTCCCATTAGAACTAGAAAATACACACCCACAGGAAGGAACAGGTGACTTACCCGATCAACAAAAAGGCGAAACAACCAACGAAACTTCGACAGCAACAAACGTCGATCCCGGAGCACAAAAAGGCTATTACAATCTCCGACCGAAAAAGTCAATAAACTACAGAGATCTAATAAGTTTGCCACAGATAAGCCACATTTCTTTAATCCTCTGCACTTTATTACTACTAATATCGAAATCTCAATGCTCAGCAAATCCGTTAAGCCTTAGACATATCACTTGTATCAACGGTGGAGTGGAACTAATCGCACCAGATCAGGCTCCATACCAAATATGTGCCGAAGATTTTTGCAAGAGTTACAACGCACCATTGGCCAAGGAGACAGTGAAACTGCCTCCACAAGTAGTCTTACACGAGCATAAAATGCAATGGAGAATAGCATACAACGACTCAGTAGAAATTATCGAAACTACCTGTCAGTCGGCGCCATTCTGCGATCACGTCAATTGCATTTTCTGTTCAGCAACTGTTTTTAACCCGGAGTGTTGGCCACTAGGGGCTATATTGGCAACTACTATTTTAACCTATTTAATTATTACTAGCTGCTATGTATTCCTATTTGTACCAGTTACTCTCGGAAAACCTATACGAATTATGGCAACCTTTATCTGGCGACTTATCCGATCACTATTCAACAATACAGCCAAAACAACAACAAGACGTCCAACACAGCATCGCCAACGACCGGGAGACATCACAAGGCTTCTACTAGCAATTTTCCTTGCAATTGTAACATCAACCGAAGCATGTCAACAATTCAACCTATTCTCTCACGCAACCAAATTCTGCACTAGATCG